TTCAGGCATAGAGACCCTTGTCTAGGGTAAACAAGCTTCCCATGAAAGAGTGGGAAGACTATTCTAGATCTGAGGTGCATTTGATGGAGCGTAGGGAGGGTCACGACGAGGTGCTGATGGGGCGAATGGGGACAGGAAACTCTTGAGCTCTCAATGTATGGCACATCCACATGTCTACGCGAAAGGATGCTTTCACGTCTTTCCTGACTGATTGCGTCTTCTTTGGCTCCCTCCCCTCTCAGGTGGCAAAGGCATCGCGGGATGGCTATAAACTTTTGCTCCTAGCTCCTTCAAACAGCTCTTGCAAGATCTTTTTAAGCTCCCCAATGCGTATGACCAGGAACACGGACGCCAGACATTTGATCTTTTCGAGCAAGAGAGACTTGAGTCTACTGTTTCTTTGCCCTTGCCTACCTCGGCAGGGCAGCCAGAGCTGTCAGGGTAGAAGACAAGACAATCTCGTCTCTAGCCCTGCTCGTTCACAGTTCCCAGCTTGGACTAGAGTCCAAGAGTCATCTCCACAACGTTTCTCCCGGTCAAGAACTCTAAATCTGAAGGGACTGAGCTTCTTCTTGAAGGCCCTGGTACTAAAAAAATAAAAAAATTCACAAGCCCACCCTCTTCATTTCGAACTGGTAGAGACGTTCGTAGAGGGAAACGATCTGCGGGAGGGTCTCAGCTAAACCTCGTCGTGCATTCAGAAACCTTCTCCTCTTCACCCTTTGCCAAAAAATTTTCGCTAGTGCATTTTGCCTTCTCGTAGGGAAAAAGAAAAGAAAAGGGCCCCTCACGTTCAAAATCTTTTTCAAAATCGACAGATGGAAACGTGGGGAGTTGGACCATGATGCCATCACTTACACGCGATCCGGTTTGTCCTTTGAGGCATCGGCCTCATTTTGATCCGTTTTTGTGGGAGGCCTCGGCACACGGTTATGTCCATAGGTTGGTTCTGTGCCGCGTTTCATGGGGACCTGACTGAAGCTATCCCCACGAGGCTCACGGAGAAGGAACGGCAGCATCCCAACGCTCTTGCCCCTCCAAGGAGAACCAGGGGAGATGTGGGCCAAGCATCGTCGCAGATCATCATGAGATTTCACCCTTCTATGGGCCCTCTGCCCGTTCGGAGGCGGCCGTGGTCGGCTCGATCAAGAAACTTTGTGCTTTCCCCGCGTTAACCTTGGATCCGACCAGGGAGGCTGATCCTCGTCTTCCCCACACGAACACTATATTCCCGCAGCCTCGTGGGGACGGGAGGGGTAGGGGTTCAACAGTGGTGCAGCGGCTTATGGGCTGCGAAAGTAGGTACATGTATTATCGAGATCATTGAGCTAAGCCGAGGAGAAAGCAGATCCGGAAAACAAAAGAGGGAAGGTTTAAATAAAGAAAAAGCTTAGGATAGCTTAGGAAGCATCCTGTCAGCTTTGCGCCGAGCCCCCTTCAACTCCCCTTATCGTGTGAACTGACTGTCGGAGGCTAATCCCTTGATGTCTCCCACCTTGATGTCTCCCGCCTTGATAGGCGATTTGTAGCTTCCTGTCGAGGGAGTGGGAAAAGAAAGCTTAACTCCTTTTTCCGACTAATGGCCCTGTGACAGCTGATCGCCGGGAGGCAAAGCTAATTTGACTTACACCGGTTTCTCCTTGGCCCTTCCCTAACCTTGATCCCATTCCGTGTGACTAATATCAATTGAGAACATTGAAGGAAAAGAAACCAACGGCAGGAGAAAAGAGAAGCGGGGCTTTCCTCCTGCCTGATCAACCTGGTTTGCCTTGAACCCTTGGATTTTTAAAGCTTGGTACGAACGGGAGAGTTTGTTGGGTGATGTCCACAGTCACGACCTCCTTCTTTTTGTGTATGTTCTCCTTCATCCTCGGGCCGCTTCGTCCGAGCTAGTCGAATGATTGCAAAATTCCCTTGAAGGCCCGTTGGTATCCGGCGCCGGGATGCCGTCTCCCGTATCTCCCGTGGCCAACACCCCTCTCCTCTTCTCCCTCCTCACCTCTACAGCATCCCTATCCCAAGCGTTTTCCGACCCCAGCCTAAGCTGGGACATGTCCCTCCTAGTCCTGAACCTTAATTCGGTGCGTCAACAGGAGCCAAGATTGCGAAAGCCGAGCGGCGCCCGCCCGTCCCCTTCTTTAGGTTCTCCACTTGTCCCGCCCGGGGAAAGGTCCTCCCCAAAAGTGAACCCTCTTGGGAATCACGCCCTGCTCCATAGAAAGTCCGGCTCGAGTCCCCAGTAGTTTCCTTTTCGGGGATTGAACTCGCCCGGAAAGCCTGGCGCCCCTATCTTTCATTCCCCTTCAGCATCTCTCGCCCCGCCCCCGCTCCCTCTCTATCAATCTCTCTCTCTCTCTCTCTCTCCCCTCTCCGTGTGTGTGTATGTGTGTAGGTGTGTACACATGTAGCGTGTCTTTTTGCCTCTGTGGGCCAACGAGAGGGAGGCGAGCCGGATGGACTGGCCACCGTTCCGCCCGCCTTTCAGTTCAGGTTACTTGTGTTTTTCTCCTCCTCGCTCTTTCGCGCTCTTTCTCCTCCGGCGCTCTCCCCTCCCGCCCCTTATTATCCAGTGCCTATGTGGAAAGAACTTTTTCGTTTGATTTTGGTGGCGCAGGAACTATACCCGCTCCAGCGACCGTAAACTGGGTTGGCTGTCCGATCTCTCCTCGCTCGATTCCCTGCCCTTCCCTTGCCTCAATCTTGGTAGAAACTCCAGAAAAACGGAGAGAAGGGTGAGGGAGGCGAGGAGGAAAGGGAGGGGGTGTGTGATCAGGAAATCCTAGAGCCTTTTTCTCACGCGGTTTTATACCCTCTCGCATTCTCTTCCCCCTCCTCACCAACAACACCAGTCTTGAGATTCAAGTTTTGCCTTTTTCTTTCTTTCTTTTTTTTTACTCCGGCCACGATAAGGCACGGGATTTGTCATGAGCTCGTCTGGGCCTTGTTCATTCGTATGGCGCACACGCCTTCCTTCGCCCTGGCCTGCCCTGCCTCGCCTTGAGCACGAGAAGCCCTTTTCCTTCCTCTCCTTGTTAGGTGGAGCAAACAATGTCGTATAGCTTCAGGCTCTTAGCTCATCCAAATCTCGTAGCCGTTGAGCATCAATATTAGTTTTAGAAAATAATTAGAAAAAGAGAAAAGTAAAACATGAAGCGGCCATTAGGCGGGCTCCTCCACCCTCCCACACTCTCTATTCTGACTATCTCATGCTTTAGCTCTAGCTCTTTAGTTTGGTCATCTCCGAGGAACCTCGTCTGTCATCTATCAGAAAGCGGGATCTCTTAGCCTTGCCGACATCAAGTCACCAAATAGAACCTCTGTGAGTGTCTCCGGTCCCCTCCCCACTCCCGCCCTTTCAATGCGCAGGCTTCCCCGGATTACCTCCCCGTTCAAGTTGATCTTAAACTTTGTTGGTAAACTCTCACTCTGGCCATCGCGTGGTCCCTATCCTCTCATTCCTCTCGCACTCTCGCACAAGAAACAAAAAGGGGAAAAAGAGTCCCAACTCTCTTTTGGCTTGTACTCATGCCTCCCTATCTCGCTTCTTGCGTGCCCTCCACAAATACATCCCACTCTCTTTTTCTCACCTACTTGTCTCGAGCTTTTGCCCTGTAACCTTACTCGTGCCGACAAAAAAAGGTTTCCAGCGATGTAACATCCCTTAACCTTCCGCAGCTGAAGGCCTCTCACACAAGCCGGAAAGCAAGCCACGCAGCTGGCGAGGGACAGCAAAGGAGTCTATGGCAGGCCAATAGCTTGCTTATCGGCCGGAGGAAGGCTCCGGGTCCGTAAGGTGTCCTCACACCCGCGGGCTTTTCAAATTTACATCCATTAGAATGGATCCATTGTATTGCCTTGTCAAAGTGTCCACTACATACACACATACGTCCATGCTTCAGTCCCCCACTCTCTTCCCTTAGCTTCTTAGCATAACATGATGGGTTATCCAGGCAGGCAGACTCCCCTTTAGATGCAGCTCTCGAGCGTATCTCTGACATAGATGTGTTGGCCATCAATATATGAATATAATAAACGTATTTTTCTCTATATTGTTCCGTTTCTTTGATTACTAAATTCAGATCACACACATCTATTCTTACACATATACACATGGATGATCAAAGTTAGCAACTGAGAATTAGTGCCTCCCCATCCCTTGTAGGGTCTGAGGCAGCATGTTCCGCTTACTTATAGAAGATGGATGACCAGTAGAGGAATCTCTAAAAGGAAGAGAAAGGAGAAGACTCTAGTAATACTGTCTTTCATGAAAATTTGATGGAAAAGGAAACCTTGTCTAGAGTGTGGATGACAGACAGCTAAGGCAAAGAAATATGAGAATAAAATGTCAAGCCCTTCCTCCCCTCCCTCTTTTTGTTTGTTTCCGAGCTTCCACAAAAACAAAGGAAAAAAAAAGAAGAAAACAGACACAAATAGCAATGGATCAGGGTAGTCAGTCAAAGGGGAAGCTGAATCCCATTCTCCTTTTCCACTGTTTACTTCTTATACATGCATGTCTAACGAACGGTCTCTGAGCTCAAACAAAACACAAATGCGCCACTCCCTAGGCCTGAAATGCCTTGTGGGAAACATAGAAAGTCAGAGTCCCTGGAAAAGAGAAAGGGAAAGAAAACGATACCCTTGAAGCCTATGCCATCTCCATCATCCCATTAATCAGGGAACAAATAAGGGAAGAAAAACAAGCCATACCTATCCTCCTTTGCCCCCTTATCTGAGCATCCTCTTGATCATAAGAGATGACCAGACAATAGACAAAGGGTCAAATGAGGCAGGAAGCAAAAACAGAAACACAAAAAAGTCCCTCTTTAAGGTTGGTTGTTGTGTGTTGTTGGTACATATCGAGGTTTAGGTCTTCTGACAGGAAAGCTTTACCGTCCTCAGCTTCCAGTCATTTGTTTTTGGTTTTGGGGAGGGGTTTATTTCGGGGTTTCGTGTCTCCTCCCCCATGTAGGCGTCTCGGGCGCGGTGCTTAAGCATCAACATCACCCGTCAACCTCTCCGTCAATCATAGCTAGCCGTTGTTTCGTCGTTTTGGCTTTCTTGCTGCCCGTCCGTCGCTTCTTAGCTGCCTTGACATCTGGTTCTGCAACGACTGGCGTCGCCGCGCCAGACGCCTTGTTGTCATCGAAATTTCCTTCGCCTGTACGTGCATCTTGTTAGCAAGCCTAAATTCTGGCGGGGAATGCGTGTACAGGGGAATCGGAAAAAAGCAACACCTACCCTCGTGGTACATCTCATCAAGACTCACACCGCCCCGGTCGCCGCCGCTGTTGTCGACCTGCGCCCTCTTCCTCTTCCCGCCCTTTTTCTTCTGCACCTTGTCGTACTCGCCGCTCTCAAGCAGCTCCTTCTCCCTTCGTTCAATCAGCTCAGCTTGCTCGTCGTCCGCTAGCCACATAGCAATGTCACGGTTCCTGTTCTCCGGTGCCCTGCGGCCGGAGAAGTCGACGCTGGCACCGCCACCCTGGATGACCACTCGTTGCACCTCTTCCTTCTGGAGAGCCCTCTTCCGGATACGCTCCTCGATTGTGCCGCGCGTGATGAGACGGTAGACAGTCACCTGCTTCGTCTGGCCCAGCCTGTGAGCTCGGTCCATGGCCTGCGAGTCAATTGTTGGGTTCCAATCCGAATCGTAGAAGATGACTGTGTCAGCTGTCGTGAGGTTGATACCGAGACCACCCGCACGCGTAGAAAGCAAAAAGATGAAAATCTCGGGCCGAGTTTGGAAGTCGTGCACGGTATCTCGTCGGTCCTCGAGCTTGGTAGAGCCGTCCAGGCGGCAATATTTGTAGTTACGGTACGTGAGGTACTCTTCCATCAAATCAATCATGCGCGTCATCTGGAAGTAGAGAAGAACACGGTGACCCTCGTTCTTGAGCTTGAAGAGCAACTCGTCCAATTTCGCCAGTTTGCCGCTGTCAGTAACAAACCGGCGCATTGACGGAACAGCAATGTTGTTGAACCTCTTCTTGTCGTTGTCGGGCGCTGGCAATGCCTTCATCGGGGGCATGAACGCCGGCGGAACCTTCTGCCTGATGAGGGCTGCCTGCTCAACTGGGTTAGGCCCGTAGAGGATCCTCCTGATGCCGACGTTGAAAAGCGTCTGCTCACGCTCCACCCTAGTGGACGGGTCGTTGCAAGTCACGTCGATGGGCGGGGCTGATACGGGCGAGCGTGCTGCTTGCTCAAGTCTGCCAAGGCCCAGGTCATTATACACGACGCGTCCAACATTCATCAGATTTCGGAGGACGCCTTCGCCTGTGATCTCCGCAAGTGCCTGTCTGTTCTTGCGCTCATGGATCATGAAGAGGGCGTGGCCGGGCGTGAAACCGTTGTCCTCGGTGTCTGAGTAGGCGACTTCCATCTTGCTAAGCCTACTGCTTCGCGAGCCAATGTCTACTGCGCGCTGCACAATGTTGCTATGGGTGGCCTTGTACACGTCTCCGGGAGAGGCATCTGCAAAGCGGAGCCACGAAAACGTGTCCGACCCTTCCATACTTTCGCGAATGTTGCTTGGCGTAAAGATGTTCATCATGTGGTTAAGAGCTTTGTTCCTCCATCCCGCTTGGGGGTTATCTCTGCAGGCCTTGTCGAGCCGGCCGTCGCCCTGCCAGACGCGCACGGGAAGGGGGTAGTCAATGGCGTTGCGCGTCGAGTACTTGACCGTCACATTATTGCCCTCGCGCACAAAGGATGCCGTTTCTCCAAATTGGCCAAAGGCGTAGGGCGATGTTGTATCGGCACGCTCAAACAAATCGGGGTGATTACAGACCTTTCTGAATTGCATGACAAGGTTCATCAGTGTGCCTGAGTCGTTGTCGTCGCCTAGTGTGGCTTTCTCGATGAGGTCCATGAAGCTTATCTGGTTGCGCAAGTTGGCGTAGTAAGCTCGCTGTCGGTATGTTAGGTTGCAGAACACATCCAACTCAATCTTGTCACCAAGTTCCTTCTGCACGTGCTTCTTCACGCGACGTAGCATGAATGGCTTAAGAATCATGTGCAGACGCTTGAGTTGATCCTCGTTAAGTTTCGTGTTACTCTGAGCGTGCGATTCGATGTCTTTGGAAAACCATTCGCTGAATTCGTCGTGTGAGTCAAAGAGCGAGGGCATGATGAAGTGCAGAAGAGCCCACAACTCTTGCATGTTGTTTTGGATGGGCGTGCCAGTCAAGAGTAATCGGTTACGGCAGTGGAAGCTGAGAAGGCACTTCCACCGGGAACTCTGCGAGCTCTTGATAGCCTGCGCTTCATCCAGAATCATGTACTGCCACTTCATCTTCTGGAAGTAAGCGACATCAGATACGACGAGCTGGTACGACGTGATGCAGACGTGGAAAGAGGCATCCTTCTTGTAGGTCGAGTGCTTGCGATCCCAAAACTTTCGTAGCACTTTGCGGTCGGCTGCACTGCCCCAGTACGGCAGGATCTTGAATTCAGGCACGAACTTGCGAATCTCCTGCTCCCAGTTGTGAAGGGTGGAGGCCGGCGCCACCACCAGGAAGGGGCCCCAGACATCGTACTTTTCGGCGAGGTAGGCCATGACCGAGATGGACTGTACAGTCTTTCCGAGACCCATCTCATCGGCGAGGATGCCGTTGATACCTTGTTCATACAGGTTCACGAGCCAGTTGAGACCCTTGAGCTGGTATTCCTTAAGCTGGGCATTGATGAGCTTGGGCTGCTCTATCTCTACGTCGCCCAGGCCGGTCGGGTTCTGGAAGTTCATCTCGCCATCCTCGTCCATTCCGTCATCCTCATTGTTGAACTGACGTGCCTTCTTCTGGGCTTCCGCAATGGCGTTTTGGGCGTTGGCTATGGCTGCAGCTTGTAGCACGCTCTCATCATCGTTATCAAAATCGAGGTTCTCGAAGTTGCTAATTTTGGTACCGACCGGGCCTGTGGGTTCCTTGATATCCAGCGTGTTCTGGGGAATATGGTCCCTGTCGGCCGCGGCAACCTCGGGGTTGTCCGTGCTGCGTTCCACCTCATTGGTCTTGATCTTCTTGCCGATGAAATGGGAGTAGAGTTCGGTCTGGGAGATAAGAAAGTTAAGCTTTCGCTTTTGTCGGGCGGCTTCGCGGTCAGCTTCCTCCTTTCGTTGGTTTTCGAGTTCCTGTCTCTCGGCCGCTTTGCGGAGATCGCGTTCCTCTCGTTCGTTGCGCTTCCAAAAGCTCATCATGTCTCGCATTACCCTCTTGGCTCTCGCCTGTTGATCCTTGGTGCCCTTGTTCGTCTTGAGCTGCCACCTCTTCGCTTCCTTGGACGCGAGGATGGCAGTCTTCTTGAGGTTAGAGGACTTGACCGCGTATGAGTCAGTCGCAAGCTTGTTGGTCTTGTTGACGTCCTTGCGAGCAAGATCGCGCCAGATTTGATCGTAAATTTGATTGAATCCCTTGGATTGGAACTTGGCCTCTGGGACAGGCTCTTCCTTTTCCTTGGTCTTCTCCTTGGGCTCCTTGCCAGGCTTGGGCTCCTTGTTCTCCTTGTCTTTGTCGGCATCCTCCGACGGCTGCTGCTGCTGCTGCTGCTTTGACTTCTTGCTGAGTTTGATGCGAATGCGGCCCTCTTCCTTCGGGGGTGGCAGTTCTTCACCGGCGTCAATAGCAGCCTGAGCAGCTTCGGCGGAAGCCTTCTCTGCTTGCTTCTGCTCCTTGGACTTCTTCGGCCTAGAGCTACCGCGTCCTTTCGATTTGCCCTTACCATTCTCCGCATCGGAAGGTGGAATTGAGGACGAGGCACCGCCTTCGAGGTTGAGGTCGACGGATCGCACGGGGCCCTTGAGACCCTTTTGGAGGACAAGTTTAGTCTGCTGAGCCTTCTTGTTCGCGCGCTCCGCCTCCCGCAGGTGTTTCTGGCGCTCGGATTCGTCTTCAGCGGCGCGGGCCTTAGCAAGGGCCGCCTCCTTCTGCTCAATGGTGGCAGCCATGGACTTCTCACGACGCCTCTTTCGTTGCATATCCTTCTTCCGCTCCTTCTCGGCAAAGACTTCGCGTTCGCGCACTTCGTTCAATGCATCCTCGCAATACAATTCGTCGTACCTCCTCCTGCCTAATTCGGAGTGTGTAAGAATGTTGTCAAGGGCGCACTCGACGAGGTCACGTCGCCGTTCTAGGTTGCGCTTTAGGTCGGTTTCCCTAGCAATTCGGAGGCGCTTCGCGGCACGCTCCAAAAGGCATCAGCTTCTTCCGCAAAGAGTTCTTGATCTTCTTCTTCCTCCGCAGCCTCTGCGTCGAGTAGTTCCATCTCAATCAGGATTCTTTTCTCTTTAGCCGCGGAGATGGCAAGGCTTTTGGGCTGGCCATTGGACTGGCGTTTGGCGGGAACCCGGACTGAGTCTTTCTGCGACGCGGACGATCGGCGATTCGATTTAGGCGTGCTCTCAGCATCCCTGATGTCAGAGACGCGTCCCTTGGACTTTCGGGCCGGCTTCTCCTTCTTTTCCTTTGTCTTTGCGGGTGCTTTCTTTTTGTCTTTGGGGCGTTCCGCACTGGTCTCGACTTCAGCCTCAGCTTCAGCCTCGGCTTCAACCTCGCTTTCAAGTTCCGTTTTAGCGCTCACGGTCTCCTGAGGCGTGTCTTCCTTCTCAGTCTCTGACCTAGACTCCGGCTCCTTTTCAGGTTCTGGTGCACGGAGGCCGCCATCGGTGGTGGGTTTATCCGAGTTCTTCACAGGGGCTTCCGGAGATGGCTCCTTCAGAACAGCGATCTCACGACGCGGGGACGGTTGTCGTGCCGGCTCCTTGGCATCGAGTCGAGCGGGAGAGGTCGGCCGTAGCCTGGGCGCAGCGGGCTCAGAACTCGAGAGTATATTCGAAAAGGACATTAATTCGGCAGCGCGGCTAGGAGTGGACTGAACAACAGATGACGATGGTCTAAGGTTAGCGCGGGACGTCACCATGTTGCATAGGATGAGAGGAGAAGTAACTGGGGCAAGAGAGAGACATACGGAAGTAGGCTTCGACGCGGTGGGAGGAGCCGGGGGAGATGGGCTGCGAAGTAGCGAAGGAAGACCGGCGCTTACCGAGGCACCACCTCCATTTGACATCGGTCGCATGACGGGCGAGCTAGGATGAACCGGCCGGGACGGGCTAGCCGTTGCCGGCAGACCATGAGGTCGAGAAAGGGGGCTTCGAGGCTGGAATGAAGCTGTCTTTGGCGACGTATACGTGCCGTTGTTATAGGGGCGTTGTTGTTGTTGTTCGATGGACGAGGATGAATAGGTCGATGCCTCACGAGTCTGGAACGACAAAAAGAAAAATTAATGTCAGGGTTGATGGTCAGGCAATGTGTGCATTGGTGATGGATGAGGGAAGGGAAGAAAATTCAGTGAAGGGGATGAGCCAACTGGATTGCATGGCTTAGAGAAGGGGGCTAAGGAGGTAAAGGAAAAAAATAGTTCGGTTTCGGTGCAGTGGCTCGTTCTTTCCCGTAATACAAGGTGTTGGCTTGGGGAAAGGGGTGATCATCAATCAAAGAGCGAAGGCCAGGGTGGTGTTTTTGCCCAGTAAAGGAAAAACTGGAGCACAAAAGGCTCCATGTCAGGACCAGTTCTAATTCGAACATGGACAAGGGGAAAAAAGCAACCAAACTAGAAAGCAGGATAGACATCTCGGGAAATTGCGTCTGAAAGCGGGACAAAAAGTTGAGGGGACCGCCAGAGCTCTTGGGAGGGAAAAATAAATAAATGGTGTTATGGCAACTTTTACAAGAATATATGATGGATGGTGAAAGAGTATACCGCGTCGCTGCGGTTGTCGGAACACAACTTACCTTAGGTGTTGAGGCCCCATGCCAGGACCCCGTTTCCGAAACGCGACGCTCATTTGTCGTAGTGTCTGTCAATGGATCGTAAAAGCTGCCCTGTTTCTCACGATGCACCTCTTTCGCCTGTGGGGGTAGTAGGCCGGGGAGCCGCGTAAGGGTGATGGGGGAGCGGCGTGGTGATGGTTGTTCGAGGTATTTGATGAGGAATGATGTGGGGGCAAGGCCTGGCTAGACCCGACAGATGGCGACATGAACGAGCTGAGAACAGGTCTTGATGGCGACTGATGATGATTATTCGCGCCGGGCGGCGTCGAGTAGGAGGAGAACTCGGATTGTGTTGGGGATCGGAGACTGAAGCCCGCATGTCGCGGGGGCGGCGCCTGTGGAGCGCCTGGTGCCGCGACAATAGAGCTCGCCGGGTTCAGTATATCTCGCGCGTGCCTTCTTTCGCGGTCGTCATCCTTGTCTGGGGGCCTCTGAAGGACTGTGGAGCGAAAGTTGGACTCCATTGTAGGGGTGGGTGGATGTCGCGATTTGTGTTCCAGGTTCTCGATCTCGACAACCAAGGGACCGTAATAGAGACGAGGCAACACGAAGACGACGAGGGTCTCGCGCTTTCGTGCTTATAAAACCGGGCAGATAGACGGCTACGTTAAATTTACGAACCCATGTGAAAATCGACAAAGGATAGATGTGAGGATCGGGGGATGTTGAAGAGAATAATGACGCGTCTCCTCGGAGGGCCTGGTCGCTGCGGATGCTCGGATGAGGCAGAGCTTCGGGCGAAACACTCGTAGTTGGCGGCAAGACTGGGGCAAAGGACGATGGTGATGCGATATCGTAAGGGAAATTGTGGATGGAAATAGACGAAAGCTTCAATGGTATCCGCTACATTCGTTCGGCGAGCGAGATAGCGGCTAAGTAGAGACGCCAAAGTTCGGAATGAGGCCTGTCTATGAACCAAAGGGCTGGTCCGGAAAGTGCGAAATAAAAGATGACGCTGCAGGGTACAAAAGCGGATATCGTTTGTTGAAGATGGAAATTTCAACCGGTACGCGCAAGCAAACCTAGAAAGGCAAGGCAGTGGTTGATAAATGCACAAGACCGATGGTCGGGGTTGAAGGGAGGAAAACCGAGACAAGACGCGATCGAGGCCCTGGAAAGAGCGAGTGGCGGAGATTAGGGCAGTACAAGTAGGGGAGTGGTGATGATAAAAAGTGGTGATGACGATGGTGTCGGGATGAGGATGGGAAACAAGTGGATGATGAAGAAGAGAAGGAAAGGGGTTTTGGAAATGCGGTCAATGGGGCGAGGGATGATGGCTTGATGGAGCCATCCATAACAATTGCCTAGGAGTTGCACCTCGAGTGGTTTTTTTCCTGAGGGGTGCGTTGGCGTTGGGGTCGAGCCAGGCCGTCGTAGCCTGTAGTGTAATTCGCAATGCACAATCCGGAATCCCGTGAAGTGGGAGAGAGTGTGAGAGCGGCCCAGCCCAGTGCACCGATCGATTCTCAGCCGAACCCACCCTTGCTCAACCTTTGCGGTTCCTAGGGAGGAGCCCAGTTCCAGGGCCCCTGAGGTATCCACTACAGAGTACTTGTTATGGGTCTCGCGAGCTCAGACCAATCAGAAACGCACGTCAGCAATTTAAGGCAGGTCATTGCTGGCCCCGTCTGGGGGCGAGATCACGCGCAAGGTACCGAGTACAGGCAGCGCAAAACCCTCCCAGCTTCCGTGATGGCTTCAAAAGAGAAGCAGCATCAATAATGGTAGAAAATGGGGCCGTTGACCAGGCCGAAAATATTATCTTCGTGGGGAAAATCCTCCCAACGAGTATCGATGATCCCTCTCGTTTCTCCTCTAGTTTTCCCATTTTCCTTCGTTGAGAAAACAAAAGACTTCGGCTTCTTTGAGTTGTGGATCTGACAGCCACAGGCAGGGTTAGCGGTACATGGAGACTCTAATTCTCGAAATGGAGTAATTATTGCCAGGTCCCAACGTGACAGGAAGTCTCCTTCCCCCATCGCTACGAATTCTACCCATCACCGGGTCGTTCGCAGCTGGTCGAGCGGATGAGACACCGCCATCCAAGACGCAAATTCGGCACAGTCAGGAACAAACCCCAATCACACTTGCTCGTTTCGATGACCTTACGCTTGTCCATTTTTCCTCTCGATTTTGTTTCTCGTTTACGCCTCATACTTAATATTCCCCCATAATCCCCTTAATCCCCCGATAAATTCACTATTCTCAGAGAAACTGGTGATGATTGTTGATGGCGACAAGATTGAGGTCCAAACCACCAGGCTCAATTCTGCCAGGATGCCCAAAAGCGAAGGTGTTGTTAGTCATTTATTTCACGTGACTTGGATGCAACACCACTGTGCAGCATCAATGATTCCGACTGGACTCAAGGAATCATCCGTCAGCGCTCCGATTGCTGACTCTGTTCTGCTCGTCCATGTACCATCGACCACCGGCAAACTAGGAGAACCAGCAAGTGTGGGTCTAATAATAATAACACTTCTCGTCCTTTTCCCAAGGAGGGTGTTGAGGCACACTCACCCGTTGTGGATTACGAATTGGGGACATCGTCACAGATTCCGTCCAAGTGCCCACTCGGAAAACTCAAGACACTTGACTTCCCCCTGGGAGTATTGATCGGCGCCCGTCGAGGAGGGAGATTTTGTTAAACTTAGGGAAGCTGATGGGCGCCCCCTCTTTCCCCCATTTCCGGTCTGGCCGAACGGAAATCGGAACAAAAGGAAAACTTGAGAGAGAACAGCCTCTCTGCTCATGCTCATCCTTCCATTCCTTCCAAACTACCTGACTCCGCTGCTGCAAAACAGCACTGCATCCTTCAAAGCTTCGCCATGTTTGCAAGACACAGCGCGCTACAAACCCCAAAACCACTCCCTTGTATTAATATTTTCAAAATTCATTGTCGAAAATGCTCACACCACATTGCAATTAATGTATTGTTTACAGAGCAGATGGAAGCAAGGAAGAGGCTTGGACGAGGAAAGCAGGGAGAGGAGAAGATAGAGGGGAGAAGAGAAGAGAAGAGAGGACAAGGGGCAACAAAGGAAAACGAAACCACACTTGTAGGTGGTGTCTGGCTCTAACTGCCCCCAGCTCTTTTTAATCCCCAAGGAGGGGGCCGGTCACTCCCTCATCGAGTCCAACCTTCCCAGCTCATGTTATTATGAGGTCTTGTATCAGAATTGTCTTAACCTGCCTCAACTGCTCAGTGCTCCCTTCGGTGCTTTCTTTCTTTCCTTTTTTTTTTTTTTCCTTTTCTTTTTCGAGGCCGGCGTCATACCCGCACACCTAGGCCTCCTACTCGCACTGTTTACGACGGGGCTTGAGTGGCAGAACTTGAAGGCACCAAAGTTTCCGAAGGTTTTTACGAACCCATGATGGAGGCACTGTAGATTTGCATAGGCATATAGCAATCACAGTGGCGCCGAAAGGGGTCCATTTTATTGCTGTAGTATCTTCATCTTAGCGTACGAGAGTTGAGGGCTGCATCATGGAACGGCACATGTAGTAGGTACCCTTATGGCGAGCTCGGCCTGCTAACAAAAAACCTGTGCAGCGACAATTGTGACCATAGTACCATGTGATTTCTTACGCATCTGGTGGAGTATCGCCCTGGTGCAGTCGTCGCACACGGTACTAGGATGTTACGAAACAAAGAAAACCGAGGAGGGCAAGAAAAAGGGAGCAAAGCATTCTTGGAATGTCTTGTTCTATCGTCGACAAGAATATACCTATCAAAATCTCCCCTCCAAATCTTCCACTACACACGCCCTGTCCCAGGCCTCCACGCCATGGAGGGCGCTTCATGGGCAGTCGTCAAGAAGATGAAGGAATAGATAAATAAAAATCAAGCCCGTGTTCTGCCTTGTATCGAGCTGCGGAACTCAGAAGCCGTATTCTATGGGCCTCTCTCGCCTTACCTACCGAGCCCTACTTTACCGACCTCGCATCGCCTCATTGCCCCATTTTTGTATTTTGGTTGGTTCAACATCCCTTCTCTCTAAGGCGGCGGTCTTGGTAGGAATGCTCTAGGGCGCAACATTCGTCAAAGTCATAATCAAAATGCATCCCTTGTCTATCCGATGTCCAACAGTCGTGCCCACAAAAATCGCCAACGAGATGCTACTGGGATCCCCAGGCCGTGCGTTTTAGGGATAAAAAAAGATAATGAAAGCACGTGTCGCGCTTAGACCGCACCACTGGAAATCATCTTCTTGCGGAGGTAGTTCTTATACTCGGAGATGGTGCCGTCCCAAGGCTTAATGGTCTTGTTGTCGCACACGAGAATCTCCTTCGCGATCTTGTCCAAAAGACTAATACGGGAGAGGTCAGTACATAATCCCCACACAGGTAAAAAGCTAGTTAACGGAGGGGTACAAAATAATTCACAAAACGTACCGGAAGTCGTGACTGACGACTACGACACCACCACTGAAGGCGTTGATAGCATCAGCCAAACTATCAATGGTAGGAATATCGAGACCGTTGGTAGGTTCGTCCAACAGAAGCATGTTGGGGCTTTCGATCGCGAGCAGAGCAAAGACGATACGGCTCTTCTGGCCTTCGGAAAGAGTGCCCATGAGCGCGGTCTGGGATTCGCCTGTGAGACCGTAGCGACCGAGCTGCGCACGCCAGTATTGGTAATCCTGAGAAATGGAGGGGTACTTGTCGCGCACGAAATCGAGGGCAGACTTGGTGAGGTCAAGCTGCTCAGCACTGTGCTGTGAGTAGAGCCCGAGCTTCAGGTGGGTGTGCCTCGTCACGACACCCTCGCGAGGGGAGAGCTTGCCGGTCATGAGGCGGAGAAGAGTGGATTTGCCAACACCGTTGGGGCCGACGAGAGCCGTCCTGGAGTCCATATCAAAGCCGAGATCGAGGCTCTTGTACAAATCATCCGCGGCCTTTCCAGAGTAGGCGAAGCTCACATTGTCGAAAGAAAGCACAGGTGGGGGAAGCTTTTCAACATCGGCGAAGCGGAAAGTGAAGACCTTGTCAGGGATGATGGGCTGGATGAAACCATCGGCCTCCATCTTGTCCAAAATCTTCTGACGAGACTTAGCCTGTCGCACAAGGTTGGCGTACGTACCAGCGCTAGCGATGAACTTCTTAATGTGGGTGATCTCATCCTGCTGTTTGTGGTAGGCCTTCATTTGGTTAGTCTCCTGTTCGGTCCTGGTCTTAATGTACGTGTCATAGTTTCCGCCGTAGTACATGAGCTTCTGCATCCTCATATCAATCATCATTGTGCAGACACCGTTGAGGAAATCCATGGAATGGGAAACGAGGACGAGGGTGCGGTCCCACTTCTTCAGATATTCTTCCAGCCACACGCAAGCCTCAAGGTCAAGATGGGCGGTAGGATCGTCGAGAAGGAGGAGAGAGGGCTTGACGAAAAGAGCCTTGCCAAGGGCGACTCGCATACGCCAACCACCGGACATGTCCTTGGTCTTCTTGTGGATAGTATGCTTGTTGAAGCCTAAACCGGTGAGGATAAGAGAAGCACGGGTCTCGAAGGTGGAGGGATCCATCTTATCCATATGCTATGGCCGATTTTCAGTTAGCGGGTGTTACCAAGGGAAGGTCAGATGTCGCATATGATGGCAATGTGGTGTATAGCGGTGTGAGGAGGTATGTGCAGTTGTTCTAAGGGGTCTAGGGGTCTAGGAGGGCGCGCCGGGGGAGGCGGGGTTAGAAGGAGCAAGGAAGAAAAAGACAGTGCACTCACATCATAGAGGTCCATAAGAACAGGGCTCTCAGGACCTTCATCCTCGAGAAGCTTCTCGGCGAGCTTATCGAGGCGGTCTAATTCGTTCTTGGCCTCGGTAACGACCCACTCAAGGGCACCGAGCTCACTGGGGGCGCACCTTCGTTGAGAAGGTAGATATCGACGTGCTCAGGAATGGGATACTCGCGCTGAGCAATGGCTTTGAGAAGGGTAGACTTGCCGCAACCGTTCTCACCAAGGAGACCATATCGGCGGCCATAGGTCAATTCCATGGTGGTATCATTGATGAGGACACGACCGTGAAACACCAAGCTTGTACTGCTAATCTTGACATCCTTGCTTTGCTCGGTGGAGGCAAGTACACCAGTGGTGACACGGTCAGAGAGACCATGCTTGTCGAGCTGATCCGCCAAGCGCTTTACCTCACCTAGCTTATCATCTGAAGTAGCGGGGCATCGCTGACAATGGGCTTTCCGTGGACATCGAGCTCGGGCTCATCGCCATTGACAGAGCCTGCCTTGCTCGCAATAGCGGAGCTGGCCTTGGAGCCCTTGGTCTTACTGAGAGCAGCCTTCTTGGCGAGGCGCTTCTCCTTCGACGAGGAGATGGGAGGCATGGTGATTCTAGTAGGAAAGTGAGGGAATAGTAGAAGAAGAAAGAAAAAAGCAGGTCGTGATTCGAACGTCTTTGTTGGGTATCGAAGGAATCGCGATCTCACGGTTGGGTTGGGCGCCCTCTGTCGTCACGTATCAGGTGGGGCAATGAGGAGGGGTAAAAATTGAGCGCTGAAGGTTCGCAGAAATTAGTGACCAGGTCTTAAAGATAAAACGACAAGGAAAGAAAGGCCGGGCGAGATGCCTTACCAACTCGTAGCAAGTGAGGGACAGTCTATGTAGGGTCAAAGACAAAAGACAGGATAGATAACCCCCAGGTTTCGTGGAAACTCCCTTTGATAGGTGATGTTGTTTGAACCAAGAAAAAAATATTTACCCAGATCAGACCCTAGGAAAGACTTGATGTGAGGGGCGGTTTCCATGGTGGGGTTCCTTGGGTCAAAATTTTGATGACTAGCGGCATCATATGGTAGGCGGAGCCAATCAGTGCCATCGCTTTCGAGGCTCGGCTCGTTTCTGCCTTCCTGATGGCAAACAACGTGAAGGTTTTTCTCTGGAGACCGACTTTTTCCTGTACACTTCACAGTTTGAAAGAAGAAAAAGATTAGTCATCGTGTGGGTTGCGGGATGGAAGGTGTGGAAGGTGCGGTGTTGAGAAGCCGCGAAGATTCAACTCGAGCCTCTTCAGAATTCAGAGGGCAGCCGCTGGACCACCTCACCCAACCCTGCCTAAATAAAGTTTGCGCATGGCTAGGCTAGAAATGAAGCTGGAAGCAAGGATTGAGGGCTGTCGCCGTCGTATCATGAAAATGTAATCTATATTGTGTGGTGTTGGCAGCGCAAGGAATTTGATGAAGGCGATGATGGATTACGCGAGTGATGAACGAGAGTGGACTCCATCGGTCAGTCGGTTGGGGAGAAATTGATGTGTCCATTCCCGGCAAGGTATCATATCGCACAAATCGCTTGAGAACTGGGAAAGGTTAATCCCTGGTAGCAATGTTATGCCGGTAGCGTACAAACACGAGCAACCAGGCTGCGAGAACAAGAATGCTGTGATAGAGATCGGGGCTTGCAACGAGCTGTCGCTTCTCTCGTGAGAAGTGAAGCTCAACAAGCTTGATCACTGGACTTGGTTAGTTCTTCCCAGCTCAGTGCCTGGAAGCTTGAGAGCAATCATTGATCCGAGTCCAGGCCCCTGTATTCACGTGATCCATAGTGCTTGCCCCGCCGCCCGCTTGGGGTCCCTTGCCTCTTTCGGGAGTGTCTCAGGGGCACCTTGGAAGACCGCCACGGCTGGAATTATCTTGACGTCCACGCCCGATCTATTGCTCTTCCCCGGGAGCCCCTTTAGCGATTTCTCCGTGGTGGGTTCGCCGTTTTCACCCTTCCAAAATGTTGTCGGGTATCCTTATTTTCAACCAGAAGGGCGAGAACCTCATCTTTCGTGCCTTCCGGAATGACTGCCGCCCCCGCCTCGCCGATGTCTTCCGAATTCAAGTCATCTCCAACGCGCAGGTCCGATCCCCCATCTTGACCCTCGGAAGTACGACATTCAGTCATGTAAAACATGAAAACATCTATTTGGTGGCCATCACAAAGAGCAATGCCAATGCCGCCCTAGTCTTCGAGTTCCTCTATCGGCTAATCCAGCTCGGTCGGGGGTACTTTGGCAAGTTTGATGAGGAGGCCGTCAAGAGTAACTTTGTTCTTGTTTACGAGCTTCTTGATGGTATCACGCTCCGCGCAACCGAGATTTCTCCCGAGACACCAGTGCTGACGAGCGCCCGCGATCCACAGAAATTCTCGACTTTGGCTATCCACAGAACACCGAGACCGATACGCTCAAGATGTATATCACCACTGAAGGTGTGAGGCAGTCGGAGAGAATGGTGGAAGATTCAGCCAAAATCACGATGCAGGCAACCGGCGCGCTCTCGTGGAGGAAAGCTGACGTAAAATATCGGAAAAACGAGGCCTTTGTCGACGTCATCGAGGACGTGAACCTGCTCATGTCGGCGACCGGCGCCGTCCTCCGCGCGGATGTGACGGGCCAGATCATCATGCGCGCCTATCTTTCCGGCACCCCTGAGTGCAAATTCGGCCTCAACGACCGCCTTCTCCTCGACAATGACGGCCTCCTCAGCCTCCCTAGCGGAAACAGACTAGGGACCAAGGCCACCAAGGCGGCGGCGGGAAGTGTCACTCTTGAGGATTGCCAATTTCACCAATGCGTCAAACTTGGCAAATTCGACACTGATAGGATCATCAGCTTCATTCCTCCGGACGGCGAGTTTGAACTTATGCGCTACAGAGCCACCGAGAACGTGAACCTGCCGTTTAAGATACATGCCATCGTGAACGAGATCGGCCGTACTAAAGTCGAGTACAGCATTGGCGTTAAGGCCAACTTCGGCTCCAAGCTCTTTGCGACAAACGTTGTCATCCGTATCCCTACCCCTCTTAACACAGCGAAGATCATCGAGAGGTGTACCCAAGGGAAAGCAAAGTACGAGCCATCGGAGAACAACATCGTGTGGAAGATCAGCCGGTTCACTGGCCAGTCTGAGTATGTTCTCAGCGCCGAGGCCATCCTCACGAGTATGACAAATCAGCGGGCTTGGTCACGTCCACCCCTAAGCTTGAACTTCAGCCTCTTGATGTTTACGAGCTCAGGACTCCTAGTTCGCTACCTAAAGGTCTTTGAGAAGAGCAACTACTCAAGTGTGAAGTGGGTGCGGTACATGACTAGAGCAGGTTCATACGAAATTAGGTGCGTTGATAACATTTCATGTCAGCTCTTAACTATACTGACACGCTTTTCAAGATTTTAATGTTACTGGCTACGTTCCCCATCCCGTTAGTCCACAGCTTCTTACAGCTACCCGATCCCGGCCAGATCACCGGTGAAAGGGTGCCGCCTTTATTTCATTCTAAAAACCCCTCAGTACTAGCTAGCAGGCAGGGATTCCTTTTCGTTCCACAGCCACCTGCTCCATTCTGTGTGCCCGGCCATCTCAGCGGGCTGGTACTCGGACTTTGTCGCTGGCGCTTCCCGACATTACCTCGAGGAATACATGTCCGGAAGTACACAGTCTAGCGGCTTTACTTCGGGCATCCCAGATCACTATACGTTCTTGGCCAGTGTAAATGGACTTGGGAACCCGCCATTAGGGGGGACAGTAGGAACGGGAAACCCAACAGGGGTTGGATCCTGCCGCGAACAATCCGCCTGAAAGGGCAGTGTGGTATGGCCGCCTGTCGCGGGACTAGTGATGACACCGTGCTGCAGATTGCTCATCGGAGCCGCATCTCGACGATGAAGATTATAACCCTTTTTCATGTAGCCACCGGGAAAGAGATGAACAAATCCCTAACCAATCGGTTCGGAATATTAGCTCATTCGACTTATAGATCTAGATGAAACGAAGAAGGAAACGTTTGTCTCTCATCTGAGACCGATTACGTTCTTCAAATTGTTGACTTAATTCCTTAATGCTGGCGCGATCGGAAGCAAAACTTATTTATTCTTCCCGGCAATTTTTGATAATCTCCTGACCGCGCTTTTACTATACTGAATGGGACAAGTGACTCGTGACGAACTCAGACTTCGAAACCGCTACGCCTCACCCTCGGAAGATGAATGACAAGGGGAGGTTCATATCCCCAGGCTGAGTGTACCAACGGATGACCACCAACACCCAGGCTATGATGACTTGCACGTATAATTCTTGCTATGCCATTACACATGACGGAACAAACGGGGCCTCCCCTTCCCTCTTCGCAGCCCGAGCCGAGGGCGTAAACAACATTCAATATCTTCTACGGGACCTATGCGGGATATGTCTGGCAAAGGGTGCTAGTCAGACGTCCCAAACGGGCCATTGTTTATACATTCTTCCCGTCGGAAATATTTTTCCCGTCTTCAAGTCTCGATTCCCCGAGATTTGTGCTGTTTGAGGGTGAGACAGCACCGGCCTTCGTTGGTGAGGGCGAAGCGCTGGATCCAGAAGAAGGGCTAGTTGCATAAGACAAAAGGCCTCGAAACCCATTGGTCTCCCTGGGCGCTGGAAGCCACGGGTCCAGGCATCGGAAACTACCAAACAATACGATTAATCTCTATCGCTGAGTGATCATGGCAAGGGTAAAGAAGCCAACCGAGTCTCAGCGAGTCCAGATATGCTTCCACCCAAAGGCCATGCCTTTTTCGGATGGACTTGTCTTTATCTTCCTTGTTTCCCCTAAGATTGCGGGCACGGCGGGTTGCGCCTGTGGTCTTCAAAAGCGGGGACGACGGCAAGATGGTATGCCTCGACTTGGACGGGGTCGAGGCTGGTGAGGGGGTTGACCCGACCGTGCTAGATGCCGCGATAGTGGCCCTCATCTGACACCCGCCACGCAACGGGGTTCTCCTTTCCCCTTCCCAGTTAACAGCAAGATCCTTGGGTCTTAGTGTTGTTTTGAGACAGGAAGTTTGGCAAAGGCATCGCCCAAGTAATACCGCAAAGACACAATAGACGCATATTGGGTTACCTGGCGGCTCCATGTAGGCTATATATAGGTCGATGCTCATGGTACCAGAAGAATGAAGTGTCACTTGAAGTTTAGCTTCGACCGCGCCGCTCTCTTACGTACGAGGTCTAGTAGGGTCAATTCTTCTTGGTTCTTTCTTGATCCTTAGGGCCGTTATCCCTTCATTATGCCACGATAGCTCCTCTCCCACTCTATTAGGTATCCGGTTCCTGCTGTGCCGAAGCGCGATTGGGTCCAAAACCGGCACGAGCTGCGAGCCTAGTCACGGCCAAGAACTTCAACCATTTCACAAGCCCTTGCCTAAGGAGTACGGGCCTGTTGTTGGAGAAACGTAGAGGAGAGGTCCCTGGTCCATCAGAGCTAGTGGATGAGGATCGAAGAAACGGGTCTAGGTCTATGGGATTGCACCGCCCCTCAGGATTGCCGATGTGATTACTGGTTTCTCAGCAGAGGTATTCATCCCTAATCTTAAGAAAGTGCGAGAAAAAACCCGCCGCCCATATTAGGGGCCAAGTGAAGAGGGAGAATAATTCGAGCAAGTTTAAGCGAGCCTCCCGCTAACTCTCCCCTTCCAACTCTAGAGCAACTTCTCTTTTCGCCTTCTTGTGGGAGCCAAATGCTTGATTCGAACGCATCTCCTTCGGCGTAATAGTAATTGAGACCGATCCAAGGAATTTCAATCATCGCACCCTAGGCAAAAATTACCCTTTCTTCTTTATTCATTTTCCATGCTCTTTCTGGTCTTCAGGACCGCTGCCAGTACTTCCTCCCATCCCCACACAACCGAACCGAGACGTGCGCCTGCCCACCAATTATCGAAGCTGCTCGTCTAGAATTGCCCTCTTTTCATGCCCTCTTCCTCCTCCCACCATCACTTCCAGCCACACCCAGCGTCACCTAACGATTATTGTCACAACAACACATATCTAAACGACCTCCGGTTAAACCGGTCCCCCTTTGCACACAGGGAAGGAAAAAGGGGGCTCCGATTTTCACTGTTTCCTTCTTCTATTCACCCCTGTCATTTTGTTACCTCTACCCATTGACCCTCCTTTACCAAGTCCTCTTGTTCTCAAGGACACTAGGGAGGTAAGGGAGGAAGACGAGGGGAGAGGGCTGGAGCGGGGGCCAAAAGAATAGGTGGGTGACGAGGGAAAAAGAAAAGAAAAGAAAAGAAACAAAGAAAGCGCACCGAACCATGTGCCGAAGCTGCGTCTTACACCATCACCACATACCGCCCTGTAACCGGCAGCCTGATGTCGTAGTGCACTGGGAGTTCTGCTCGCAAGCGACAACGGAGCCTTCCAGCGCGGGCGGGCAGCCGGTAACGCTGCCTTGCAGCCAGAATGACCTGGACTTCTCGCGACAGTTTCTGCAGGGTAGGGACCTGTGTGCGATGGGGGTTGCCTCGTGTCGCCGGCCTGCAGCACTGGGACCTGCCAGCTCGAGGCGCTGGGGGCTTATGGGTCTGTTGCCAGTGCAAACGCGGGGCCAACTGCCTGCGGTGGTGTGGGCACAAGATGCGGACGAGTCCTGATACATTTTGCTATCACCGGATCTGCGAGAGGTGTACAACGGATCAGGGTCAAGGGGCGGGAACATGAGAAAAGTGCCATCGTGTCACAGGAAAGGGATCACAGGGGAAACGCCTTTCGAAATCTCCAGGGCTTACTTAAAAGAGCAAGGAGGAGAGGAAATCACAAGGAGAACATGTCTCAACAACAGATCCATCCTTTCTTTGGGATCTAATGTAGTCTTTTTCTTCCACAAGTGATGGTTAAGCGAGGGGGTGGTTCGCTTCGACCTGAAGAGGTGGAGGGATAGACACGATTTCTGGTGTAACAACGAGGAGACATGTAGATGAGGGACTACAAGGAATTCGTTCGTAATGGGCAACTCAAGCCAAGGAAAAGTGAATAGCTGAATATGAACCGGAGCGCAGCCAATGGAGCCTTTGAGAACACGATTGCCAGGAAGTAGAAGAGAAGCGACGCGGTCCTGACCAAGCCCGAAATAACAAGCAGCCTCGCCCCGTTCGAGTGACTCGAGACGGCACACCGAGTGCCTGCGATGCCGTTACGGTGATACACGTCCCGAAAGAAAGAGGAAACACCACGACTAGCAAACCACTCGGGTACACGGGCACCCGCAGAAGGAACCACAGGGGTCTCCTCCCACCTTTCGCCCCGGGACCGCGAGATTTCCAGTGGCGTAGCCCGCTCTCTCGCTTGTATTGGCTGGGTCTCGCTCATCTCCTCGTCTTCAACCCCGGTATTAGGAAAACCAAGGACCCGTATCATGGGACACCGCCCAGGTGGGGCTTGCGCCACGTTTTGCCCCGGGCTGCCGGTCCAGCTTACACGAAGCTCGCTCGCTCACTCCTAGAAAGTGTAGGGCTGATTTGTTATACTCGATAGGAAGGCGAAAAATGGCAATCTGATATCCCCCTCCCATGTATTTTCTTCCCCTCCCTTTTTACTCTTTCTTTTATCTTAACCCCAATTCTGTCTTGAAGACTTGTTCATGGTGGACAGCGGGCTTATTCTTTTCCCGCGACTTATGCTTTGTAACTCGCACGTCTCTCTTGGAGCCTTTCAGCAAATCCGACTCACTCCGGGCTTACATCAGACGAAGTCTCGGCGGATGCTGGTTTCAATTGCGGAGCTCTATGTCGGTATCCTACTCGGTTCGACCCGTCTCTGCATAGAGAAGAGTCCGGAACCTCTGTCCCGTCTCCGTCCCGCCTCCCGCCTCCCGTCTCCCACCTCCACGATGCAATAGAAATTGGGAGCATTGTCAGCCTTCGCATCGAATTCCAAAAGGGGCCAGGTTTCGGTCGTAGTCGCAACTACACCATTGCCGAGTGCTATATCCTCGGAGGGCTTGAGCGGAAGCCCCAAGACAGGGAGTTGAGTAAGTACTTTGTCTGACCGTCCTACCGTTACACCTGACAGGGAAAAGACGGTTCCTGCTCGCGGCTTTTACGCTAGATATCGTGAGGTATCGAGATCTCAGCTATTATAGGGTTACAGAGGGTCTTGGGGGATAGATGCCTCCCGATCTCTGAAGGAGCCAGAGATGTAGAATTGATTGCCTATGGGTGGGGCAAACGTATTGGTCGGGGCAACAGAACGTTGAGGGGATCTCTCCGGCGTCGGAGTGGGGCGAGGCAAAGAAATTCAAAGATTTTGGAAAGGCTCCTCGATCTCCGCTCATGACGATTGGGATATGGGGCAACACTTGAGCTTGCCGAAAATCTAGGGTAAGATAGAAACGGGAACATACATATGAAATGGCGACA